TTTATTAAAAATTTAATAAAAATTTATTAAAAATGTATTAAAAATTTATTAAAAATTTATTAAAAATTTATTAAAAATTTATTAAAAATTTATTAAAAATTTATTAAAAATTTATTAAAAAATTAATTATAATTTATTAAAAATTTATTAAAAATTTATTAAAAATTTATTAAAAATTTATTAAAAATTTATTAAAAATTTATTAAAAATTTATTAAAAATTTATTAAATTTTTATTAAAAATTTATTAAAAATTTATTAAAAATTTATTAAAAATTTATTAAAAATTTATTAAAAATTTATTAAAAATTTATTAAAAATTTATTAAAAATTTATTAAAAATTTATTAAAAATTTATTAAAAATTTATTAAAAATTTATTAAAAATTTATTAAAAATTTATTAAAAATTTATTAAAAATTTATTAAAAATTTATTAAAAATTTATTAAAAATTTATTAAAAATTTATTAAAAATTTATTAAAAATTTATTAAAAATTTATTAAAAATTTATTAAAAATTTATTAAAAATTTATTAAAAATTTATTAAAAATTTATTAAAAATTTATTAAAAATTTATTAAAAATTTATTAAAAATTTATTAAAAATTTATTAAAAATTTATTAAAAATTTATTAAAAATTTATTAAAAATTTATTAAAAATTTATTAAAAATTTATTAAAAATGTATTAAAAATTTATTAAAAATTTATTAAAAATTTATTAAAAATTTATTAAAAATTTATTAAAAATTTATTAAAAATTTATTAAAAATTTATTAAAAATTTATTAAAAATTTATTAAAAATTTATTAAAAATTTATTAAAAATTTATTAAAAATTTATTAAAAATTTATTAAAAATTTATTAAAAATTTATTAAAAATTTATTAAAAATTTATTAAAAATTTATTAAAAATTTATTAAAAATTTATTAAAAATTTATTAAAAATTTATTAAAAATTTATTAAAAATTTATTAAAAATTTATTAAAAATTTATTAAAAATTTATTAAAAATTTATTAAAAATTTATTAAAAATTTATTAAAAATTTATTAAAAATTTATTAAAAATTTATTAAAAATTTATTAAAAATTTATTAAAAATTTATTAAAAATTTATTAAAAATTTATTAAAAATTTATTAAAAATTTATTAAAAATTTATTAAAAATTTATTAAAAATTTATTAAAAATTTATTAAAAATTTATTAAAAATGTATTAAAAATTTATTAAAAATTTATTAAAAATTTATTAAAAATTTATTAAAAATTTATTAAAAATTTATTAAAAATTTATTAAAAATTTATTAAAAATTTATTAAAAATTTATTAAAAATTTATTATAAATTTATCAAAAATTTATTAAAAATATTATTGAAATTTGACGCATACCGGATATGAATAACAATTTAAAATTAAAAATTTGACAGGGAACAATTTCCTTTTAAATCATTTATTTTTATTTAATTGATGCGTGTGTACATACTGAGATAAGATAAATTAAATTAAAATGAAATACAAAATAAAGTAATAACACACACATCCCATATCAATGTATTGTCAGTATTATCATTTTATTTTTCGTCACGATAGCATTCCATTTGCAATATTCATACCTCCATAAATAATTGTTTCAAAAGATGGGATATCACAAATAAGAACCTACATGTATCACCCTGTAGATTATTATTAATAAAGTTTGATATTTCCAAAGCTACAGGCTATTTTAAAACAGATAATGGGGTCTATTCTGTAACAATTCCTTTATATTTAACGGCCTTTAAAAATATTGGCGGCCTTTAAAAGTATATTTGTATTCGTTAATTTACTTCTATCATTATTTAAACAGATTTCTTTAAGATAGTCCTCTAATGTATTTTAAAGATCCGTTTAAATAGTGACCGAATAAAAGAAGAAAATATTTTTAAAGGCCCTTAAATATAAAGAAATTATTACAGAATAGACCCCATTGAATCTCAAACAATTAAAAATATCATTGTAACACATATTGTATGGTTTCTAGTATCGCAATCCTACAGCAGTCTAACTAGAAAAAATGAATGGGGCTTCTTTTATTTTTTTTTAATCGTCTAAAACTTTTAATCCTTAACTCTTCTTATTCCCGGATATAATTATATCCTTTCAGGGCACTCTAACACTAAAGACAGCAATTCAAGATAGATCCCAAGAATAGCCAAGAAAAAAATAAACGTTATAATGGGGCTCTCAATTTACTATTACCACTCTGAAAAAAAGATATATATCTTAGAGTTACTTTTCTTAACATCTGAATTTTTTTTTCCGAGAATATTTTATGTTATCTATTTATGCATTTACTTTCAATAAACAAAAAATACAATTTATAACCACATGTTTTCGCATACAAATTATAAATTAAGACTCCGCTATCGATGAACAGCGATAAATTGTAGAAAAAATTATATTTCTATCTATAATCCTAAAACAATTTATCATACGTTTTTTTATAAATAATTATATACAGTGTGGATAAAATAAAATAGAATCAAATTATCACTATATAAATTACCACTACTGTCCAATAATTTCACTAAGCTTTTTAAAAGTGCACTATTTAAATTTATCGAAGGCATTTGATTCAATTAGATGTTGCCTAATAAAATTAAAAGGGCTTGGTTTCTGAAGAAATTTTTTTGTCTTGATTGTCATCCTATATAAACATAGCTCAAAATTAATAATAATTGTAAATATTAACTAGAAAGTGTTGATCTAAATGTACTCCAAGGATCAATTTTAGGGTTTGTGTTTTTTCTGTTACATAAAATATGTGCCTAATATTAACCGTGAAAACTTTTATATTTAGTTGACACAACAATTGAATCAATTATCAAATACTAGATGCTTTAAAGATATTTTTCCAATTTTGACATATAAAGTGACATTTTTGTAATCGCTGCAAGTGTCTAAATGATGTACTTTACGCAACCTATTGCATAATGTTAAACATTATGAAACTTGTTTTGAAATAGCTATTTATGCAACCAGTTACGAAATGCCTTATTTTATGTAACGAGTGGATATTTGCGGAACGAGCAGAGCTAGCAGAACCAGTTACATAAAACGGTATTTTGTAACGTGTTACATACAATATTTTTTCGAATTTTGAGTAGAAATTTATTAAGTTGTGACATCTAGGCAACTAATATTACTTTTTTGTATTGTTAGTTGCATACGCATTATTTTATTGACAAATAGAACATCATTATTAATTATTTATTGTCAACGACTTGAAGTGTATTTATATTGCTTATTAAAGTTATTTAGTTAAATAATCTCGTGAAAAAATTACCAAAAAATCCAAAGTTTGGAAGTATTTTACAAATGATTTGCCTAAAAAAACGAAAAGGCAAATGCAAATATTGTTCTCAAAATGGTTTTGAAGAAACATCAAGGATGGAGATTTAACTGTGTCTTCTATGCTCAAGGTCGACTACTTTTTATTGTGACTTTTCGTTACTTTTCACTACTTTTCCGGACATGTCTAAAACAGCTATTCCTAACTAGAATTTCTGTAGAGAGGTTTTAAATTTTTATTGATTAAAATTCAAATTTAAGCTCCACAACAGAATTATTGGCATGCATGATTTATTGAATTTCATATTTTTCTGTTTTCTTAGTTTATTTAATTAATTGAACAGACGGAAGTCCATTGGGCCCAGCATTGAAGAAACCCAAGATAGAGTTGTCCAACATGGGGTTGATCTAATGAAGATCTAGTCTAATGCCATTTCCTCCCAAGTTTGCTTTTTGCAGAGTTTATGTTCCTTATTTATTTAGAATAGTAGAAGATAGTGAAAGAAAATTCTGTAAAGATTAGGACAAAATAGTAATTAACCTTTTAAAGGAGGCTCGTTATAAACCTCAAAACTATTTCCTCGTATAGTATCTAACACCCTACAACATAACATACCTAATTAAAATTTCTACCACCATATTTTTTTTGTATGTCTTTGTACATTTAAATAATTTGCTATTACTATTGAATCTTATTGTTTTTTTTATATATTTTTTTTTTGTCATCGGCTTCAACTACCAGGGTTATTTCGCCTCGTGTTCTGTGTAGGCTTTGTTACTGTTTCCCAGCGCCACTCTAGGAACAGCACTGTTAATTAGAACCCAACAGTGAATGGTCGAGTGGGGAATCCTACCAAGGCATCAGAATTAATTTTAAATAATTAAATTAAATGAAAAAATTCCGGCCAACGGTGGGATTCGAACCCGGGACCCTTGGATCCACAGGCAGAGACTCTACCACTTAGCCACCCATATTATATATTATTTATGATTTTGGTTTCTTAACCTTTCTTTCATTATTTACCTAGTTTTCAAAAATTTTGATCTTTCTTAATCTTATATACCCTGTTTTAGTCTTAATAATATTTAGGCTGCCCTGTAATTGGGAGTTTTTGGACAATAAAGGATGTTTATTTATTTGGTAGACTCAAGGGTGATTCCAGGTGGGGTTGCCAATATTAAATTTTTTACAAAAGGGAATTAGTTTCATTAGCAATAACCATGAGTAGACTTCATCTTAGCTATTAGTAATTGTAATATTTCGGATAAAAATAAAGAAGGCAATTTAGTATAAACATCGAGGTAGATATTAATGTGTAGATGAATATCATAATGAACTATAAAGGACCATATTGTTGTGAAGATAGCAATCACAATAAACTATGTAATTCTATTATTTAGTTTGTTGGCGAAAAACATATCACAGCGCGAAAAATCCAGAAAACAAATCAAGGGGAACTGGGAAACGCGGGAGAATAAAATGGCTAGGGATATTCTACACGACAACAACAATACTTTTGTCTAATTAAAAAGAATAATGGTAATTACATTTGGTGCTCTCTGTATGTTTCTAGTTATGGCTTACAATTTTCGAGATTTATTACATACGACATGTGTTTTAATTTTATATACTGACTCTGTATTGTTGATAATTCATATTATCGCAAACAGACTAATTCGTAACGATTATTTTGCTTTTGTTTTATCGACTTTCAGATTATTTGTGTTATTAATTGCGAAAATTTTGTGTTTTACACCTCTAAGACTTTAAATGAAATTAATTTAGATTCTGGGATTTATGTTGGATTTCGAATAATTTGCATACAAAGAAAGTAAGTTTGATTTAGTATATTTAAAAAGTGTATTTAAATAAATTAAAAAGGCTGTTAATTTTAATTCTTGATTTGGTTTTTCTAATTTTAATGCAGGAAATGCCATTTTTGTGATCGCAGTGTCAAAATGATCTACTTTATTTAATTAGTTACATAAAGTTTTTGGTTTTAAAATCAATACATATATCAAAGGAGGGAAGGTGGGCTACTTAAAAATAGATTTTGTCAGTGAATTTACACCAAGGGGTGAACCACTAAGATCATATTTCTGAATATCACCAAAATTTACGATTTTGGTGGAATCATCCATGGTCCTGTATAATTTAGTCAAAGTTTCCGAAATATCCCTTAATTTTATATGACTTCGGTGATTTATCAATAAATTTTTTTGAGTTATGTTCAGAAGACCTTTTTTGCTCTTCACTTGTTTTTTCTATCAACCGTTTTTTTGCTCCTCACTTGTTTTTTCCGCCACCTGGGTATCTATTCTTGAATCTCAGGGAGTAGAAATTTTGAGGGAAAAATGAGACAAAAATACAAATTTTGCGCGTTGCACATAAAGAGGCAAAACCGGTTTTCTATTCCCTCGAATTCAAGAATAGCTACCCAGCTACCCTGCTGCGTCTATATTTCGCCGCGAAAAAAAATTTATTTCGGTAAATCTGAGTGAAAATGTACCAGTATTTCCAAAGTGGTTAACTCCTTGACTTACACATAGTAATAATAATTCTAGTTCGGTCGCTATTTTAAACCATTTTAATCCATTATAAACCTGTACAAAATAATTAAAACATTGTTTCACTCGATACAGGACACTGACATAAAATAAATAAAATATCCATATCCACGTATGCATAATAAACCACTTTTTTAAATACTAACAAGCTTTAAAAATGTGATGAAAGATATTTTAAAAGTATTAAATTTGTATTATTTATTAATTTCAGTCGATTTAAGATTTAACGTTTACCTATATAACTATTTATTTTCAAAACGCTTCTCCTGAATACAGGATAATAATATTATTTTATTGTAGAGATAAACTAAAAATATCCTTTTCCATGTTCTGTAGTTTAACTTCCAGTCATCCCGACAACAATGGTTGTATTATCACATGATTACCTGAATATGCCTGTATGAAAGAAAAGGAGTTTGAGTATGAAATTTAGATTGCGCAACTCATTTACTTTAAAAAAGGTACTCTTGATAAGACTCGATTACTAATTTTAGAACATAAACAATAATTATTAAAATACGAACTTTGTCAAAACCATGAGAGTAAATCAAGGGTACTTTTTTGTAGTAAATGAGTACCCAATCCAAATTTCATACTCAAACCCATTTTTTGGCATTGGCGTAGAATTTTTAAAGGTGCAATTATTTAAAAAATCAAGTTCTACGCCTATGTATTATTATCGAACAAAATTTTATACGATGAAAAACATAAAAATGTACTTTTTTCATATCTTCTTCAACACCTCTAATCGAGACTTTTAACAAAAATACTCGATTCTTGCCATGTACGATTTTTTAAAGAATATTAATTATTTGCCTGCAATACGTATACAAAGACATTAGGATTTTGTGAAGAAAATGCTCGAGAGAGTGTCAGGGTGTACTCTGAAAGGTTTCCAAATCGTTGTGTACCTAGCCACCCAACTTTTGCTGCTGTTGAGAGACGTCTTCGGGAGACCGGTTCCTTTGCTCCCAACACTGTTGATAATGGAAGAGAACGTTTTGTAAGGATTCCTGAAGTTGAAGAAGACATTTTAGAACGTGTTGAAGAAGATCCAGAATTAAGCACCAGACGAATTGGAAGGGAACTAGGAGTAAGTAAAGATCTCGTTCATAAAGTGCTTAGAGAACAATTGCTATATCCATACCATAAGAAGCCAGTACAAGAATTATTAGTCCATGATCCTCAAATTCGTTTGGGTTTTTGTCGATTTGTTAATATGCAAAGAGAAAGAGATCCAAACTTTGTCAAGAAGGTTCTCTTTACCGATCAAGCGGGTTTTACAAGAAGAGGTATAACTAATACCCATAATGAACATGTTTATGCCGTTGAAAATCTGCATGCAATAAAGGTAAACCATTTTCAGCACGAATTCAAAATTAATGTGTGGGCTGGAATAATTGGTAATTTCATTGTTGGTCCTGTCATACTTCCACGAAGATTAACTGGAGAAAATTATTTGGATTTTCTACAAAATACGTTGCCAGAATTGTTAGAAGATTTACCTCTCCAACTTCGGAGAGATATGTGGTTTATGCGGGATGGAGCTCCACCACATTTTTCTTTAAACGTTAGAAACCACTTGAATGAACAATATCCACACAAATGGATAGGCAGAGGTAATGACGCACCTGTAAACTGGCCACCACGTTCCCCAGACCTAACACCGATGGATTACTTTTTATGGGGACATCTGAAATCCATAGTGTACAGGGAACCTGTAGAAAATGAGGAACAACTCTGGCAACGTATTCAAGATGCAATAAACAATCTTAGAGGTGATGAAGAAGTTATGGAAAGGATACATTTTAATTTTCTTCGACGTATAAATCTTTATATGCGTGAAAATGGTGAACATTTTGAACAATTTTTGTAAAATCTCTATTTTGATTATGTTGTAAATAAATATTTTTGTGAAACCTATACACTCTAAATTATTAAAACAGAAATTTAGCGAAAACTATGAGAGTAATCGAGTCTTATCAGGAGTACCTTTTTTTAAAATAAATGAGTTGCGCAATCTAAATTTTATACTCAAACTCCTTTTCTTCCATTGATGTAGAATTTTTAAAGGTGCAATTATTTAAAAAATCAAGTTCTACGCCTATGTATTATTATCGGACAAAATTTTAATACCATTTTTTTGCCACATAAAACTCTACCAATATACCAAATTTCAACAAAATCACATATGCCGTTTTAAATTTATATGGGAAAATCGATTTAAAAATTGTAACTTCAAGGCCCTCCGGAGCCCAAACGAAGCAACTTTGTACTAAGGTAATTTTACTTAAATCGACTTATTTTGGACTAAGGAATATGTGGTATGTTTTTGTAAAGACCTTTTACAGACACCCATTTAAGTTAATCAGTTGATTTGCATTTTTCTTGGGAATAAACAAGATAGTGCTCTTCTGAAACTGAATTATTCCACCACAAAGCATGAGGATGTTAGGTATGTCTATGATTTAAATCTGCATACCTAGCATCACTATCTGATAGATTCAGATCAAGATGATAGCCAAAACGTCTAGAACCTAATCTTTCATGGACATCGCCATTATTTAAATGTTGTATAAATAAAATATATGATTCAATTACGAAAAGAACTGAATAAATGTCCCTTATATAAATAAAATTTTGTAAAATGTTAACAAACACAGGACTATAAAATTAAAGTGAAATAAATTTAACAGGATATTTTTTTAGTTGCGGATTTTCTTGAATAATCAGCTCGAAGGGTCTGAATAGTAGTCACTTTTATAGGATAATTATATATAAATGTATTACCTAATTTGTACGGTTGTGTGTTGATATACCTGTTTAATAAATAGAAACACTTGGCATAACATATTTAATTTTAATAAGAAGCACATAACTCTTATTTGGAATTGGTTTATTCATGTTTAATAATGTTTATAAATTGTTGATACATAAGGTTTATTTTTTTATCTTTATAATCCATATTTATTTGGCTTGTGGAGTTCTAAGAGTGACCGATTTTTTTGTTACATTCCTGCAGGTGCAAATCTATATTTTATTTGGTGTATTTTCGTTATTTCTTTTAGTTCTTCACGAAGACTTTCAATAGTTTTCTCTAAAATAACAATTTCATTTTGGTGGTCACATCTGAAACAATGATATATATAGTTAATATTAAAGTAAAAACTATGAATTTTTAATTAAACATTTCTATTTAATTCATTGTAATATTCAATAGTTCTACATGCTATGTTATGTAATTTTCATTTCAAAGCCACAGGTACCATATACAATTTTCACATTAAGAATATTTTTGTTAATAAGATAAATTCGTACTTATGTTTCTAATTCTGGACATACTGAAATATTGACAAAGCAATCAATAAAGGTTTGTCGATATCTTTTTGTCTGCCTTATTCATTTATCGTCACATTTTGCAGACAAGTGTTGTCCTTTTTTTTAACTCGGAGATTTTCAGTAGAAACTGCTGTTGGTTTTAAATTTCTGCCAGTTTGAAGTAAGCAGTTTAATAGCCTCTGTTGTAAGGGTATTTCAAAACTATCATTTGAAAAATGTGTAGAAAAATACAAGCTTAAAAAAAAACAAAACATACAAAAATTATTATATTTCAATTTAGTTTTGCAAAAACCATACCATTCTTCAGGTCATTTGTATCTTTCCTCCTGCAAGCATTGATTTATGCCAAAATACTTAATGTTTGTTCCCTTTGTTTTTCGCGAATAGTTCTTGTAGCACAAACTAGCTAGTAACTACACTTCCTTAAATAGTAGATTTTAATGTAGGTAACAATAATATAATAACATAATTAGAAATTATATTTTTTATCTTTAAAATACAGCAAAATATGACATAACCTAACTTTATATCAATTACAGTATTAATTTAATTAAAAATTATTTGAATAATACGTATCAATAATTACTAAAAAGACATCTTGATAGAAATAATATTAAATTTTAAGATAAATATATCAATAAAGTTCTAAGCACTATCAGGAAAATATTAAAATAACTTAAAAACTCGCTTTTTAACATTGAAGACATAGGCATAATACAAATCTGCTTCGAAAGTGACGTCATGCGCAAGACTGACGAATTTCATACCGCGGCGCTAACCGCTTCACCTGTATTTTTCCACCATGGATTAGAGGAGATAGGAAATATCATTTTCATCAGGCACGTAGAATTGAAGGCGGCCATCTGTTAAAAAGAAGAGACCCACGCGCTTGCGCATTGATTGAGTATTGAAGTGTACAGGATAG